CCTCCTCCTCCTCCTCCTCCTCCTCCTCCTCCTGGCCGCGCTCCCGAGGAACGGCGAGGGCGTCGGATATCGCGATTTCCATTATGTTGTGATTCTCTGTAAGTGTTTTGTTTTGACGATTGTTCAGTTTTCTTTCATCCAAAGCATGCCCGACCTGACGCTAGCATGGATCAGGGGTCCATGGAGCTGGCGCAGTGGCGCCAGATCCCTGGATCAGAGAGCGGCTCCCCCCGAAACATGGGTGGGGCCAGTGCCGCCCCACTTGGCGACGGAGCCCGCCGGACGCTGCACGGAGGCGGAGCCTGTTGCGAATCCACGCGCCGGCAATCCATTTTTTGGCGCTTCCTCTATAGGACAGAGGCCCCTCCTCCAGGGCGGGGACCTCCCAGGGCGCGGAGAGAGAGCCGGCCGCTCGTCGCGCAGCGCGGGGCGCGCACCCAGGAAGTCGGGCGCCTTTGGTCGGAAGCTGGAGCGTATACGGTTTCTCGGGCGGTTTTGCAGTCCCAGGATGTCTCCAGGATCGGGGACGATTCCGGGGTGGTGTGGTGTATACCTTTCCCCCGCTCTCCCGGGGAGGCAACGAGAAACGCATACACACCAGGATCCCGTATGCATATACACCAGGATCCCGTGTACACCAGGATCCGCTTTCCTGTGCGAGCTCCAGTGCGGGGCCGGAAGAAGCATCGGTGCGTGGAGTTCGGCTCCTGACTGGGCAGACGCTCTGGGCGGGAGGGGGCGATCCCTGAGGGAGCCTGTCTCGGCGAGGGATCTCGGCCGGGGGCCGCCTGCCGCTCGGACTCGGAGCTGGGGGGGGGGCAGCTCGGGCCCGGCAGAGGCTGGCCCCCCTGGCGCGCCAAGGGTGCCTGGCGGTGCGCCAGCGGCAGGGGGCAGCGCCCCCCCGATGATGCCCTCGCGGTCTGCAGCGGAAGCCACCTGCCAAGGGAGGCCCTGCTTGGAGGAGGAGGAGGAAGAGGAGGAGAAGGAGGAGGAGGGGGAGGAGGAGGAGGAGGAGGAGGAGGAGGAGGAGGAGGAGGAGGACTTGCCTCTTGGGTGCCCTGGATCTCTTGGGGGCCTCGGTGCTGCTGCCGCGGAGAGCGCGGCGCCCCCCGCGCCACAGAGCGCCGGGCGTCCTCTCGGTCGCAGGGTTGGGCTTCCGGGTTGCCTGTAGGAGGTCTCTTGTGCTCGAGCTCCCGCAGTGCATCAGGCGATCGCAAAACTATGGATCAATTTGGCGTGGATTAGTCCCGTATCCATGGAGGGCAAGACACACACACACACACACACACACACACACACACACACACACACACACACACACACACACACGCACGCACGCACGCACGCACGCACGCACGCACGCACGCACGCACGCACGCACGCACGCACGCACATACAAGACACACACACACACACACACACGGACACAACGAGTCGTCGATCCCAGGGAGAATGTGGGAAACATGGGAGGGAAGTGGAGGGGAAGACAAGCATCCAAAAAAGATTGAACAACTAGTGATTCCAGGGATGTTTTTTTCGCGTGTCCCTGGGCGCCTTCAACAACTTGCAGGACCCCTGGCCTCCAGGACCCACTTCCTTCGCCACCATTTACCCGACACCCCGTCCACGCTGGGCCACGGTGTCTCAGCCCCGCCAGCCCACCTCCCAGGTGAGCGACGCAAAAAAGGGGGCCGTCTGCGCCGACATTGGTGCGTAAGCTGCCCCTTGGCATCGCTCGGACGTGTGCATTTTTCCCTCGGTGGGGACCATCGAGGAGCATCCTTGATCATTTGGCGAAACAAGCACGCACGAAACCGAAAAAAGCACTGGGAATGGACGTCCGAGCGATGGCCAGAAGCTGCCCCCGTAAGGTCGCGCGTGAGCGCCCTCGCTTCAAGTGTGGCGTGCCGCGCGGGCGGCCCGCGTAGCCGCGGCGCAAGGTCGTTACGTCATCCCGCGTGAGACCCGTGTTGGATCGTCGCTTGGGTGGGGAGAGGCCCCGCGAAGCCCGAAGGAGACAGCAGTAGATCCCCTCCTGCCAGGGGGTGTAGGTCGGCCCAGTGGGGCCAAGGCCGTGCCAGGGGGGGGGGGGATCTGATCGGCCAAGCGGATACTTCCACGCCGGTCGTTGAAAGTAGGTATTTTTGGATTCCCAGATCCCAATCTACTTCAAGCGCCTTCCTACTTCAAGAATCGACACGCTTTTGCTGTGTCTTGTTATTCCCTGGGGGGGGCCTGGACCCAATCGACTTAATCCGCCGTCCTACTTCATGTTTTTACCTGCTTCTTCCGACCGACGTGTACTGCCTCCCGGACCCGCCCCTGGACGAGGGCTCCCCCGGAGATCCTCTGGACCCCTGCGCAGCTCTCGACGGCCCCTGGGGCCCAGGCAGGGCCCCCCCTGGAGGCCGAAGATGGTCACTGACCTGCCGTCGTGGTTTCCCTCCTCCCTCCTCCCCCCTCCCTCCTCCCTCCTCCCTCCTCCCTCCCTCCTCCCCTCCCTCCCTCCTCCTCCTCCCTCCCCCTCCCTCCTCCTCCCTCCTCCCTCCTCCTCCTCCTCCTCCTCCTCCTCCTCCCCCCCCTCCTCCTCCTCCTCCTCCTCCTCCTCCTCCTCCTCCCCCTCCCCTGTCGGGTTGACCCAAAAGGGGGTCCAGCGACAAGGGGGTGGTACAATAGAGTTGGTGCAACAGGTTTGTGGGCTGCAATACATTTGGGGCGTGCAACAACATTCCGGGGCGCGAATGTATTGTTGACTTTTCCCGTGCAACACATTACTTGCAATACAATGCAATACAAGTCTCCGGCGAAACACATTTGCTATACATTTGCCCCAAATTTGTTGCACCATCCCCTTCTTTCAGCTGGACCCCCTTGGTCACCCGAATGTTGTCCCAGTGGGAGCCGATCCCCGATCGACCCTCGATTCCCGATCCCGGATCCCCGCTCCCCGATTCGATCCTCGATCCTCGATCGATCCTCGATCGATCCTCGGATTCCCGATCCTCGATTCTCGATCGAGGATCGATCGATCCTCGATCCTCGATCCATCCTCGGTCCTCGATTTCCCGATCCTCGACCATCGATTCCCGATCCTCGATCCTCTCGGCCGATCCCCGAGGCTCCGGCCCTCGATCCTCGGTATACTCCAGGGCCCTTTCTCTCCTCCGGGGCCCGTGCCTCCGGTTTCGAGCAGAGGCCGAGGTTCGGGGGCCCCCAAGCGGGGTGGTGACCACGCCGTGCGGTGGGTCGGTGGGGCCGGCGGTGTCACCGCACGGTTTTGGGGCTCGGGTCGTTCTCCGAGGATGCCTCGGCCGACAGGGGCCTCCCACGTCCCAGAGACCGTGCGTGGACGGACCGTGCGGTGAGGTCTCTTGGGGTTCCGAGGTCACCGCACGGTTCGGGAGCGAAAGAAGGACGTACACGTACATGAATCCACGCCGGTTTCGAGAGTACGCATCGCCCGAAAGTTCGTATCACGCGGCCGGTCTCGCAGATCGAGGGGCCGTGTTCATGTACATAGCTGGGCGCGTACGTCCTTTGTGGGCTCCCTAACGGTCTGTCACCAAACGGTTTTGGAATCCCAAAAGAGGCCGAGACAAAGAGTCGGAGGTTGAGATAGACGGTAGGCCTCCCACCCTGACACGTCGATGAGAGAATTGGCCGTTTTCGGCTCGCGAGAGGGCGCAGCGGCCGTCATTTCTGCGGGTCCAGGTCCGTCGGTTTCGGTCCCAGGCTGTTTTCGCTAAGGGGAGGTCTACTAAAGGGAGGTTTGTCCACCGCCGAAAAGAGGCCGAGACAAAGGGTCGGAGGTTGAGCTAGACGATAGGCCTCCTACCCTGACACGTCGATGGGCGAATTGGCCGTTTTCGGCTCGCGAGGGGGCGCAGCGGCCGTCCTTTCTGCGGGTCCAGGTCCGTCGGGTTTTCGGTCCCAGGCCGTTTTCACTATGCAGTCGGCCCGAATTCGGAGGTCGACCCTGCCAAATGAAGGGTACATTTGTGTCCTGTGTCTCGCGACCAATGCCTCCTTCATTCCTATTGCAATGTGGCCCTCGGAAGGGTCTTATGTCCTGTCGCGTGTCCTGTCCAATCAAGTCCGCGTGTAAGGGGTGGCCTCCTAAAGGGCTTGGCATCGCTCGGACGTGTGCATTTTACCTCCGGCGAGGACCATCGAGGAGCATCCTTGATCATTTGGCGAGAAAACCACGCACGACACCGAAAAGAACACAGGGAATGGACGTCCGAGCGATGGCGAGAGGGAGGTTGGTCCACCGCCGAAAGGGGCCCGCCGCCCCGCGGCGCCCGGCGGCAGGCGCTGCTCCGCGTACGCGGAGTGCCGCGGCAGGATGTCCGCGTCCCCCGCGGAGCAGGACGGCCGGCGGCCGGCCGCCCGGCGCCTCCAGGCCCAGGCCCCCCTCGGGTCGTGAGAGAATCGTGGCGGGAGGGGTTTCATCCTCCTCCTCCTCCTCCTCGCCCTCCTCCTCCTCCTCCTCCTCCTCCTCCTCCTCCTCTCCTCCTCCTCCTCCTCCTCCTCCTCCTCCCCCTCCTCCTCCCCCCTCCTGCTCCTCGCCCCTGCTCCTCCTTGCCCCTCCTCCTCCTCGCCCCTCCTTCTCCTCCTCCTCGCCCCTCCTCCTCTTCCTCGCCCTGTCGGCCTCCGGAGGCCCTCACGGGCCCTCGGGACCGTCAGGGATCCACGCAAAATGGAAAGCCTGTCCCGGGGCATGGGACGGGACCTCTGAGGGTCGACGTTGTGACAATAATAAAGTCGGGCTTGTCCCTCTGCAGGAGGAAAACTAAAGTGTAGTCAAACCCATTTGTATCAACCCAATTAAAACCATCTAATATTACCCTGTGACGTACCCGACCCATTTGTACCAATGGAAACGAGGGGTTGGCCGAAACTTGCATGGACAATCAACTTGATGTATAAGCTACTTGGGACACGCGCCTATGGCATGATGCGCAGGAGAACCATACAAGAACGAGGGGCGACAGCTACAGGCTCGAAGAGGACATGGGGAGTCGGGAACGCAGAGCAGGAGAAAAACGTGCGGGAAGCCGAACCATCAGCACGGCAGTAGCAGAGGGAAGGTGACTGCAGGAGGACAACAAGGACGAACGCGGCGTCTAATTTGAGTTTGCGGTGGGTACCCACTGTGCTGTGCCCCTCAGCAGCCCTCGAACGTGGCGACAGTTTCACGGAACGCAGCCCCCCAGGGATGGCGAGGTCTAATTTGAGTCTGCGGTGGGTACCCAGTGTGCTGTGCCCCCCCAGCAGCCCTCGAAAGTGGCGACAGTTTCACAGATCGCAGCCCCCCAGGGATGGCGAGGTCGTATTCGAGTCTGCGGTGGGTCCCCACTGTGCTGGGCCCCTCAGCAGCCTTCGAAAGTGGCGACAGTTTCACAGATCGCAGCCCCCCCATGGATGGCGAGGTCTAATCTGAGTCCCCGTAAGACGTCACTCCGCTGCCCCCCCCAGCAGCCCTCGAAAGTGGCGACAGTTTCACAGATCGCAGCCCACCAGCGATGGCGAGGTCTAATCTGGGTCCCCTTAAGACGTCACTGTGCTGGGCCCCCCAGCAGCCTTCGAAAGTGGCGACAGTTTCACAGATCGCAGCCCCCCCATGGATGGCGAGGTCTAATCTGAGTCCCCGTAAGAGTTCATTGTGCTGGGGCCCCCAACAGCCCTCGAAAGTGGCGACAGTTTCACAGATCGCAGCCCCCCAGGGATGGCGAGGTCTAGTCTGAGTCCCCGTAAAACGTCACTGTGCTGGGCCCCCCAGCAGCCCTCGAAAGTGGCGACAGTTTCACAGATCGCAGCCCCCCAGGGATGGCGAGGTCTAGTCTGAGTCCCCGTAAGACGTCACTGTGCTGGGCCCCTTCAGCAGCCCTCGAAAGTGGCGACGGTTTCACAGATCGCAGCCCCCCAGGGATGGCGAGGTCTAATCTGAGTCCCCGTAAGACGTCACTGTGCTGGGCCCCTCAGCAGCCCTCGAAAGTGGCGACAGTTTCGCGGATCGCAGCCCCACAGCGATGGCGAGGTCTAGTCTGACTCCCCGTAAGACGTCACTGTGCCCCCCAGGGATGGCGAGGTTGAGTCTGAGTCCCCGTAAGACGTCACTCCGCGGCCCCCCCCCAGCAGCCCTCGAAAGTGGCGGCAGTTTCACGGAACGCAGCCCCCCAGCGACGGCGAGGTCGAATCTGAGTCCCCGTAAGACGTCACTGTGCTGGGCCCCCCAGCAGCCCACGAAAGTGGCGACAGTTTCACAGATCGCAGCCCCCCCATGGATGGCGAGGTCTAATCTGAGTCCCCGTAAGACTTCATTGTGCTGGGGCCCCCAACAGCCCTCGAAAGTGGCGACAGTTTCACAGATCGCAGCCCCCCAGGGACGGCGAGGTCTAATCTGAGTCCCCGTAAAACGTTACTCCGCTGAACCCCCAGCAGCCCTCGAAAGTGGCGGCAGTTTCACAGATCGCAGCCCCCCAGGGATGCAAGAGAAAAGAGGAGGAGGAGGAGGAGGAGGAAAAGGGAGGAAAAGGGAGGAGAGGAGGGGGACGGGAACAGCCCCCTGCAGGCAAAACAGGAAGAGGCAGGGAGGGAGGAGGAGGAGGAAGGGAGACGCGACCGCAGTGCTCTATTCAAAACGAGTACCCAGCGCAGGAGGGTTGGGAAATAGTCTGGGGACCATTTGTTGATTCTGTTTTGGTATTTTGGGGGTAGTTTTTTTGTTGTTGGCAAAATCCCCCTGTAGGGGGACAGGCCCGGGTTAAGACAAGAATCGTGACGTCGGGGGTCTGTGGGGGGTCAGCGCCGAGCCGAGAAGCCCGCGCGGACGTCTCCGAGAGTTGCCGATGCCGTGTGGCTTCTACAGCGAGGACCACCAGAGGGCTTTCTCTCCGTTGGCAGATCATGGTGGCCTTGTATAACCTTGTAATTCCGCTTTCAAAGTGTATTAGCGTCGATCGAGCGTCGATTTAGCGCTTTAGAGTGTATTCCGTTTGGTGATCGATAAGATAGCGCCGATTTAGCGTCGACCAAAGTCGACTAAGGGTTGATGAGCGTCGATTCGATGCTATGGATGGTATGGGATGGTATGAAAGGCCAGAAATGGCCAGAAAGAAAGGGCCAGAAAGATGGTATGGGATGCTCCGATGGGTTGCCGCAGAAGCGCTCCTCGGGCGCCAAGGAGGGGGGGTCTCCCAAAGACCAGAATGGCAGTGATCAGCGCCCCGCGCCTCTCTGGTGAACGCCACCTGGTTGCTGTCGTCGGCGAAGAAAAACGTCATAACCGTAAACTTTCGGAGCTGCGCACGGACTTCTCGGATCGGCGCTGGACCCCCCTGGCGGCGCCTCCGGCGCCGGCAGCGATCAGGGTTCTGCGCCTCTCTGGTGAATGCCGTCTGGTGGCCCTCGGCCCATCCTGCCACAGCCCACAAGTCTTCTCGTCGTGAAGTGGCGCACTGCGCGCGCCTTGCCGTGTTTCCCACCCGGCGGCTCCTCGGCGTGCACGCAGCCGATTCTTGGGCACACGGTGGGGGCGCGCATTAAGAAACCATATGCTTTTCGTCAGGGATCCTGGGTTTCTTTGCTCCGCGCGCTGCGCATGGACTTCCCGCGGCCGTTGAAGGAGCTGCTGCGTCCCTGGTGCTCCCGGTTTCCCCTCTGGTGCACCTCTCGCGCGGGTTTTCAGGGTTGGGTTTCTTGCGAGGGTCTCTTATGGCCGCGCCCGCACTGTACACGCTTCAACAGTGTTGCGGCGACATCGGCCCAGGCGAGACCACCGCCTCGAGCAGGTGCTGCCCCAACGGGTGCCCGGGACTCCCCTGTAACGAACTATGGTGACACTGAACTGCACAAAAGAAACCTGGAGACACGCAATGACCACCCTGCAATAGGCGACGAGCCCGTGCGCGAAATGGCTTGTGCAGCAAGTCGAAGCAAGACTGAAGTGAAGACGAGGCCGAGGGAGGAGGAGGAGGAGGAGGAGAAGGAGGAAGCGCTCGACGCCCCTTCGACTGGCGAGGGAAGCGACCCGATTGGCGACGTCACCACCACGCTTCCGCCGCTCGACGACTCGGGGAGATGACGCCGCCACCGCGGCCCCTGGCTCCGCGGGCGCGGGCGAGCGCACCGCCCCCCGGCGCCTGCAGCAGCGGAAGGACGACGGCCCCGCCGAGCTGAAGGAGGCGGGGAAGTCCGGGGGCGGCCAAGAGGGGGGTGATGACAAGGGGGGGGAGGTAGATATCATGGCGTGGGCCATGATATCTCCTCAGATTGCATGGCGCCTCCTCTTATTTCAATGCGTCCCCGCCCCCCCCCCCCGGGCCGAGCACATGCCGCTGGCCATGAGTTGCGCCCCCCCCGCCTCTTGGACGCCCCCCTCTTGGCTGCCCCCGAGAATTGCGGGGCGGATGGCTGAACCTGCTCCTGGGCTGGATCGAAACGGTGTTTGGGCGATATCCTTGGCCGGTTCCTATTCGGTTTCGTTTTTGAGTAAAGGCGGATCGAATGCAGAACGAGGGAAAACGATAACAAAACGAGCACGAACAACACCGCTTAGGTCGAGCCCTCACCTGCTCGACCGGCTTCATCAGCGTCCGCAGCTGCGCCGACCCTTCGCGGCCCCGTGTGCACCGCCTCCCGCGGCGGCTTGTCCGGCCCAGTACTTTGCGCCAGCCCGGAGGTTGCGAGCAAATCTCGCAACGCCTGTGGCCACGTGCCACAAGTTCCCGCGCCTCGCCCGCCCTCCGGCAAGAAGGTCCTGTGCGAGCACAGCGTGCCCAGATTCCGAAGCCAGACGAGCCATCTCCTACACAGGAGCGGTGCCCTCAGGATCTCCACAGGGCGACCGAGAATTCCACCATTGTTGTCGACGTTTCTTGGAAGGCTCTGTGGGAAGGTGGAGTCGATTGGGGCGGGTTTTCGTTTCACACAGGCCTCGCCAGAACCGCCGAGAGAGCCCAAGAGCTCGCAAGAAGTCTGGCAGACTGTTGGTCACAAGTCCACACCCCTTCTGACACTCATAGCTGTATGAGCTTATGGGGCATGCCACTGCACGCTGAATGCATGGTGGCGGATAGTTGCCGTGCCTCTATTTGGTGGCCGTGGGCCCATCCCGTCACCGTGCCTGGGTGATGCAGGAGCCCCCGCAGACCAGGCCGGTCTCTCGGGAGCCCCTCGGGAGCCTCTTGGAAGCCTCTTGGGGGCCTCCTGGGGTCCTCTCGGAAGTCTCCCGTGGCGTCTCGGGGGCACCGGTCCGCGTCGCTCCTGGCGGCACGGTGGCGGATTCTGGGCCACTGGCCTCTCGCCTCGCCTTCGCCGTCGCGCCCCCAGGAGGCCTTCGACCTCTTCTGGCGGCACCACGCCGCCTGCCTGGCCGAGACGCTGCCCAAGGGGCAGGACGCCTGCCCGAGAGCCGGCCCCCCTGCGGAGGGGACAGCGGTGGCGACGGCGGCGGCGACGGCGACGGCGACGGCGCGCGACGGCGGCGGCAGCGACGACGGCGACGACGGCGGCGGAGGCGGTCTAGGAGGTCCATCGCAGGACTAGAGGTTGACACCAGCACCAATATCGGCGGTGTGCCTCCACCGAGGGAAGAAGATCCCGTTCTTGGCGATGGTGGTAAGATTCTGGCTGCCGAGGTGACCGAAATATTACTACCAATGACCCTGTTTGATTTTCCCGCTGTCCGCAGGAAGCGGCGCAGAACACACCCCCTCGGGAGAGGGGCGCCGCAGAATGCCCATCCACTCTCTCTCTCTCTCTCTCTGGCCCTGGTTGCGCCATCGCGCTGGGGCTCACAAGACGGACGTGATCTGACGGGCCGGTTTCCTCGGCTACTACCATGGGTAGGAGGGGGAACAGGAGGAGGAGGAGGAGGAGGAGGCGGAGGAGGAGGAGGGGGAGGAGGAGGAAACAGAGAAAAACGAGGAGGAGGAGGGACCTGTTCGTCGTCTCTTCTCCCAGTCCTGCCTATGGCAGTGGTGGTGGAAGATTGGGCCATCACTGTCGACCGCTTTTGCGACGGGCCCGATCCAAAACATCTTCCCTGTTCCCTCAGCAGCAATCCGTCCCTCTCCTCCCCCCTTCTCTTGAGGATGCAGCGCTCAACGCCATGGTTGTGTACCTGGATCGACGCCCCGGGATCGAGAACGAGGCCTGCCCGGCTGCCTGCCCTCTGATGCCCGCCCTTCGCCGCGTGGACGCGTCGAGGAGGACTCGGCTTTGGAAGCGGGGTTCTCGTGCTTAGGAGAGGACGCAGGAGGGAGGGGGACAGCTCACCTGAACCTCTTCAATATCCTCCTCCTCCTCCTCCTCCTCCTCCTCCTCCTCCTCCTCCTCCTTTTCCTCCTCCTCTCTCCCTCCCTCCCTCCCTCCCTCTCTCCCGCCCTCTCTCCCATCCTCCTTCCCTCCCTTCCTCCCTCCCCCCTTCCCCCCCTCTCTCTCCCATCCTCCCTCCTCCTCCCTCCTCCTCCTCCTCCTCCTCCTCCTCCCTCCCTCCCTCCCTCCTCCACCTCCTCCCTCCCCCCCTCCCGCTTCTCCCGGCGGGCCTCGCGTGCTCGGGGGAGGAGCTCGGCAACAGGTGGGCTGGGGCCAAGGGAGCTCTCGCGCGAGCGGGCTCCCGGAGCGCTCGACGCCCCAGCGGCCAGGCCAGGCCCCGCCTCCCCCGCGCCGTCGCTCTCGCTCCGACTCCTCGGCGCGTCTGCCGTGCTGCCTGAGGTGCCAATCGACGGGGAGGTTGCGCTGCTCTGCGGGCAAGGCTCGCGCCCACATCCACTGCAGCTTGGAGTTTCGGGCTTCCCTCCTATGGGTCAGACCCTGGCCCGTGCAGACGCTCGATGTGTGTCCATATCCAGTGCGCCGCGGCCTTGCGGCGCCCCTTCCAAGGAAGTCCAAGACGCAAAGGACACGCATGGATAGAGTTCTTGCCCGCATACTTGTCCAGCTCATCCAGCAGCCGACTCGAGTCACCAGAGTTTTCGGTGCTCAGGGGGCTCTGGTGATCGCCGCCCCCAGGCTGCAGCCCTGCAGAGGAGCGGGGGCGGGCCCCGGGCTGACGCGGCAGCGAGGGCGACTTCCCCGCTGGCCCGTGTCCCCGCTGGCCGAGCCAGTGCGAGGGACGGCCCGTCGGTGCTCTGGAGGGCCCCTGCCCCACGAGACCTCTGCCAGCTGGCCGAGGCTGTCTTGAACAGGGCCTCGGCATCCAAGATGGGGCGAAGGTGCCCCGGAGCCGTGCCACGCTCCTCCTCTGCCTCCTGCTCCTGCTCCTCCTCCTCCTACCCCTCCTGCTCCTCCTCCTCTTCCTCCTCCTCCACCTCCTCCTCCTCCCCCTCCTCCTCCTCCTCCTCCTCCTCCTCCTCCTCTTCCCCCTCCTCCTCCTCCTCCTCCTCCTCGCGTTCCTTCCGCTCCCCACCTCTCCTCCTCCTCCTCCTCCTCCTCCTCACCCTCCTCACCCTTTTCCTCCTCCTCCTCCTCCTTCTCCTCCTCCCCCTCCTCATCATCACCATCACCATCACCATCACCATCATCATCATCATCATCATCATCAATCATCATCATCATCATCATCACATCATCATCATCATCATCATCATCATCATCTTTCTCCTTCTCCTTCTCTCCTTCTCCTTTTCCCCCTCCCCCTCCTCCTCCTCCTCCTCGCGCTCCTTTGCCTCCCCATCCTCCTCCCCCTCCTCCTCCTACTCCTTCTCCTCCTCCTCCTCTTCCTCCTCCTCATCCTCCTCCTCATCCTCCCCCTCCTTCTCCTCCTCCTTCTCCTCCTCCTCCTCCTCCTCCGCCTCCTAGCTGTATTGGCCTCGACCGCTTGCGGCGCAGAGAGCGCACGGCGGGCTTTGAGGACCACCGACAATCTTCACGCGATTTTGGTTGGGCTCCGAAGTCCCGGGTCTGGGACGTAAGATCGCAAATAGTCGGCAGCAAAACTATCGATGGCCAAAGGAGAGAAGGGACGCCACAGGCGCAAGGCACAGGAAGGGGGGGCTGACGACTCGTGGCCACCGCTCCCAGTTCGGCCAGGTACTGTTTCTCCCAATGTTTTTTCAATGCGCGGGCACCGTGGCAGCGTGCAGCTCATCAGTCGCCCTGGTCGGGACCCATTCCTCCTCCGCCTGCTTGGCCGCCTCAGGGTGGTCTTCGTCCGAAGGGTGGTGAACAGGCGTCGGATGCCTAGGGCGAATGCTCTTCGTATGCTCGCTATGCGTGGGTCAGCAAGCTGGCTCAATATCATAATGCCTGCTCGTGCGGGGCGGCCTTCGGCAATTTTCCGCCTGCTGCAAGCGAGGCGGGCGGCGCGGCCGCGGGCGTCTCAAAGGGCGGCAATGGCAAGGGCAAGGGGACCCCCCTCGGCGCTGCAGGCTTGGAGGCTCAGCTCGCGGCGGCGATTGCCGAAAAACCGCTCTCGGACCAAGCTGCGGCTGCCCAGGCCCTGCTTGTGCCTACTCGTGCTGAGAGCGGGAAGAAGGAGTCCGCGGTGCCCGCCACGCAGCAGGTGACGGCAGCGGCGGCCAAGGTTCAGCGCTGCCAGACTGCATGTGGCAAGGCACAGGCGCTGAAGCTTAAATCGACGCTTGAGTTCTACAAGGCGGGCAAGGTGTTGCAGGAGGCGGCTGCGAACCCGGTCCATGCTGAGCGTGAGCGGGCTCAGTTTTTTCGTTCCATGGTCCCTCCTGCACAGGCGTTTGGCGCCGCGGCGGCGGCAGGACCCAGTACAATCGACCTCTCGGCGCTGCTGTCGGCCTCCGCTGTGGATGACCCCATGTTCTCTATTCGCTTGGGGTCTGATTTCTCGAATGCGGATGGCGCGCTGAAGCAGGGTGACGTGGCTACCGAGATGCGCATGAGCCACTCACGGATGCGTTGATGCACGCGCTAAAGGCAACCTTCGACGAGGCCCACAGCGAGTTGAAGGAGAAGAACGCGAAGAAACGGAGGCAGTTGTCGCCTGCTCCCCAGGGGCGCGCCGAGCCTGCCGCTGGCGAGGGTGGCGCTGCCGCCGCGCCCGTGCTGGCGCCAGCCGTGCATGGGTCTTCGGCCGCTGGCGCGGGTGGATGCGGCGCGGCCGCCGGGAGCACGCCAGCCCCGCCCGCTCCCGGGGAGGGCCCTGTCGGGATGGCTCGCCCCGAGGCGATCAAGTCGAAGCTGCAATTGGATGCGGAGGCGCTGCTGGTCGCGGCGCGGTCGGCGGCGGAGAGGCCATCACCGCCCTGTCTGCAGCGCGTGGGAGACCCTCAGTTCTGGCGGGACCGCGAGTGGTCGAGGGGCTGACACTCCATGCGCCCCGCCCAGCCCCCCCCCCCCCCCCAGGGGGCCCAGCGGCCCGAGGCACCCAGGCGCGGTGAGGGACGGTTTTGGCGGGGGGCAGAGCGGGGCAGCCAGCCGCGGCACAGGTTGCGCTCTTGGTTTGCCGGCGAGAGTTTCGACTATCTCTTCCCCGCTGGCGCTCGTTGCAGCCCGTGGAATGCTTTTCTCAGGGCGGAGCGGCGACTGTTTGCAGTCCCGTCGCCTTCTGCATATGCGGAATCTTGGTGGTGGACGGGGGCCTGCGGCTGGTTCGTCGCGCAGGGCGAGAAAAGGCTGACGCTCGTCTTTCCCGACGCGCATGCGCTGCCGAGTGGGCACCGCGATCCCCCCGATGTCTTGCGTCGAGCTGGCTGCGCGGGGGCGATGGCTGCAGCGTGCGAGTCGGGCGCTAAGTCCAAGTTTTGGGGCGTCACTACGGGCGCTCTTCTCAAGTATCACGCGCGGTTTTTGCGTCGCCTGGCTTCGGCGCCGCGTGGCCAAGTTGGGCTTCGCGATCTGAGCGGGCAACCGGATTTGTCTGGCATCGGCTTCGCGGATATGGCGGCCAAGGTGCCGAGGGCCACTGTTCGGCCCCTGCCCCCTGTCGGCGCGCGCGGCCGCTTCTGCGGGGCACGAGGCCAACGGTCCCAAGCTGGCCAACGCGGGCACCCTGGTGTCGACCATCAAGCGCGCGTGGCTGGTCATCGGTGACCAGGGCATAACGCCCAAGGAGCTGGCCACGACGGGGTGGTTGCCCGTCGTCGATGGCTCGGCGGCGATCCGTAGTCACGCGGCCTACGCGCGCGTCCAGCTGCAGCGAGCGCATGCTGGATTATGTCGCGGCACCCTCGCTGGCGCGGGGGCGGGCCATGGCGGCGGAGGAGGCGGGGGGAGCTCACTGCGGACTGGAGCTTTTACTTGGTTTCGATACATGTCGCGTTCGCGCCTCCTGGCCCACGCGCGCGCGCGTCGCGCGCTCCCGCGCCTGCTCTGCCCAGGCGCAAACCTGATCCCAGCGGCGAGCGCCTGCGGGCTAAGGCTGGGGCCGAGGCCCGGCGAGGCAGCGAGGCCGCGGCCAGTCGTCGCGCCGGCGCCTCCTCAGCGGGGGCCATGGCCCGCGGTCTGCACCGTGAGCCCCCCGCCGTTGCTGCGCGCCTTGCGCGCGTGTTTGTGCGTGGGGGGAGGGGGGGGAGTGACGATGATGAAGACCAACTTTTCACGGGCGACGAAGAGGCGGAGGTGGCCGACGAGGTGGGCGCCCAGGTGGCTGCCGCCGATTCCGAGCACGAGATCGACGCCTGCGCTTCTGTCCAAAAGGAGTGGACCGACGATGCGATGGATTCGTTGCGGCAGCAGGTGGCCCCCGCTCGCCCGCCCATCTCAGTCCCAGTCTACGCGTGTCAAACTTTGGCTTTCAGGGTCGCTGGTTGCGAGGCGCAGTTCTTGGGCTTGCAGTTTGTTGAGTTGGTCAGTGCCATGCGGACGTGTCCGGTGAGTTGCACGAGGCGGACCCCTTGGCGCGCAAGAAGTACTTTGGTCGCTCGCGCGACAGAGGGCCTCGCTTAGGGATGCACAAGTAAGCGGAGCCGTATTTGTCCACGTCTGATTCGAGTTCGCAGCGGCGGCCCTCTGTCGCTAACCTCCTGGGCCGAGCGGGTGAGTTGCATCTCCTTCGGGCTCGGCACCTTTCACTTCTTTTGCTGGAATGGAGTGGCTATATTTCAATTGCGTAGATTGGTCCTCTTCCTGCTCGCCGTCGAGATCGGCCGGCGAGGAGGCTTCGTTGCGCGCAGGATGCCACGCTCGACTCTGTCAAACGTTTTGCTGCAGGTGCTCGCAGGGCCCCGGGGCGAGCCC